GACCAGCACGGATCAGCTCTAGGCATGATGAAGCGGATAATGTCCTCTTTTGGAAGGCCAAGCAAAGTAGTTTCACTTTCACAACGAAACACAGTGCCTTCACGATATGGCGGCGGCAACAACAATATTACAGCGAGAATCAAAGTTACGCCTTCTTTCTTTGCGTGAACATTTGGGCGGCGTTATGCAAATCTTCCCACACAGTGACGTAGACATGTGGGGGCGTGTTAGAACGAGCCGTTTTAGGTAGGTGTGGCTGACTCTTAACTTTTATAAAGAATATCTCTTTGGATTTGAGACTTTAGTCTTTGCAACTTTACAGATCTTCTTTATGCACCAAGAGCTTGTAACACTCCAAAGAGAAAGAAAAAATTTAAATTTATAAAAGCAATAAGCCCCGTGAAGCCGTGGTTTACAGTGAATTTATAACAGCTAAGGGGCGTTGTTAGGCACGACTAATTGGCTGTGGTTCAGAGCTGCAGAGGAACAATGAGCCGCACACAAAGAGTGCTGATGCGGCGGATGGGATCAGTACCTGTGGAGCTCAGCGCGATGTAGGAGAGCACGTGTCTCCGGACCGATGCCGTGTCCTCGGCGCTCAGCGGCAGCGTCTGCAGCAGTGGCTCCAAGAAATCAGACGGCAGAACCGCAGCCAGATCCCAGTCCAGACGCGACACCAGCAGCACCTCCCACTGCTGCACACATCACACAGCAGTATTAGCAATGCAATCATCAACGGGAATCAACTATACAATGCATTTATAATCATCACAATCAGCAGAATTTAAAAAAAAAGAAAATAAAAGGTAATAATTAAATAATAAAGCCTGTATTAAATACATAAATGTGACCCAGGACCACAAAACCAGTCATAAAGGTCAATTTTTGTATTTTAGGCTTTATGAATTAACGAAAATTATTTTTAATATTTTAGTTTCAATTAATAACAACAATGCTTCAAATGCACGATAGTTTTAATATTTTTTAGATTTATATTTAGCATTATTTTATTTGAGTGTTTTTAAGGTTTTGTTTTTTTATATTTCTACATAGCTTTATTTTCAGTTTTAGTTTTAGTAATTTTAATACTTCAACTTTTTTTATTTCAATTTTAATTTACAAGAATTTCACCTAATATATAATATTCATATTTCCTTCAAATGTAGGTCATCCAATAAGAATATAAACGTTGAAAATATCATGCTAGAATTTTACAACTGTTTAAAAAAAAACAAGTTAAAAAGTTGCGCAGCTGTTTCCCCAAACCTAAAAGCGGCGTATAGCTGGATGCTAACGGTTTACGTAAAAGCGGGTCATGTGACGTTACCAGGATCTCTGGGACGGTGACGGCGTGGTCGGTGTAGACGCACAGCTTGGCGGCGCTCAGAGGAACCGATTCCCTGAGTTTGGAGGCCAGGAACATGCAGACGCATCCCAGCAGCTGCAGACGGCACCTGAGCACGGCATTCTGGGACATGTGCCTGTCCAGGTAATGAACGGCCAGAGGAAACACCTCCTCCTCACACTTCTGATCCTCACACACCTGCTCGAGAACAAGCGCCGTGATTCAGGATTCAGATCAGAGTGACTTGAATCACTGAATCAGATCAGAGTGACTCGAATCACTCAATCAGATCGGAATCACTGAATCAGATCGGAGTGACTCGAATCACTCAATCAGATCGGAGTGACTCGAATCACTGAATCAGATCGGAGTGACTCGAATCACTGAATCAGATCGGAGTGACTCGAATCACTGAATCAGATCGGAGTGTCTCGAATCACTGAATCAGATCTGAGTGTCTCGAATCACTGAATCAGATCTGAGTGACTCGAATCACTGAATCAGATCGGAGTGACTCGAATAACTGATCAGATCGGAGTGACTCGAATCATTGAATCAGATCGGAGTGACTCGAATCACTCAATCAGATCGGAGTGACTCGAATCACTCAATCAGATCGGAATCACTGAATCAGATCGGAGTGACTCGAATCACTCAATCAGATCAGAGTGACTCGAATCACTGAATCAGATCGGAGTGACTTGAATCACTGAATCAGATCGGAGTGTCTCGAATCACTGAATCAGATCGGAGTGACTCGATTCACTGAATCAGATCGGAGTGTCTCGAATCACTCAATCAGATCGGAGTGACTCGAATCACTGAATCAGAGTATGATTCATTAGACAACATCAGTTCAGTGTGATTCGAATCACTGATTCAGAATGATTCATTAGACATCATCAGATCAGTGTAATTTGAATCACTAATTCAGAATGATTTATTAGACAACATCAGTTCAGTGTGATTCGAATCACTGAGTCAGAATACGATTCGTAAGACATCATCAGATCAGAGTGACTCGAATCACTGAATCAGATCAGAGTGACTCGAATCACTGAATCAGATCAGAGTGAGACTTGAATCACTGAATCAGATCAGAGTGACTCGAATCACTGAATCAGAGTATGATTCATTAGAGAACATCAGTTCAGTGTGATTCGAATCACTGATTCAGAATGATTCATTAGACATCATCAGATCAGTGTGATTTGAATCACTGAGTCAGAATAAGACTCATTAGACAGTATCGGCTCAGTGTAATTTGAACCACTGATTCAGAATGATTCATTAGACAGACCCCTTGTCCAAATACCCACACTTGCGGTCTTGGCCACTTGAGAGCGAAGTAAGGGAAGTAAGTGCGCAAGACTGTCCCAGGTCTTAAAAACGCCAGAGCGCAGTGCCCTTTATGCACACTAAACCCACACTATCTCGAATACCGCTCCGGAGTGGTATTCGAGGGTTAGTGTATCCCATCATGCATCATGTTCTGGAAATAAATCGTGAGACTTTTTGCCGAGATCTCGCGAGAGGTCACGGAAACCTTTCCAATGCAAGTTAAATATGAATAATAATAAGATATTACATATAATTTGGTGGTAAAACAAAGTGCTACACATTTTATTGCTGCAAAGATTAGTATGTTTATTTTTGTACAACATTTGCAACTGCTTTTTATCACTTAATTAAATTGTGTAGTGACTACTGAACAGACATTTAGAAGTTGATTTTGAAATGCAAAGTACTGAAAATAATAATAAAACTGTAAACAACTTGCGGTTTTACAACACTATAAGTGTGTCCCATCAGGTAATGAAAAGTTGTACACACACTTGTGGTCTTCATGCTCACTTGAACACTTGGGCCAAATACAGGAAATATGTCATAGAAGTAGTCAAGTGGTCAAGAGCAAAGACCACAAGTGTGGGTATTTGGACAAGGCAAGTATCAGATCAGTGCGATTCGAATCACTGAATCAGAACACGATTCGAATCACTGAGTCAGGTTGATATGATTCATTAGATCTCCCCTCACCTGCAGCATCCATCCCGTTAGGATTGGGCGCACGTAGCGCTGCTCGTCGGTCGGCTCGGTACCGGGTTTGATGCTCGGTCTCTCCGAGCTCAGCAGGTTCTGACAGACGCGCGAGTCTCGGGTCAGAACCGCGTCTCTGAACGCCCGAACCGGTCTGCAGCTCGAGTCCGTCTCGACAAGCTCGTGACAGAACAACTCCATCTGACGGACTGATTAAAGCGGTCAAACTTACCGTCAGTCACGAGCGAGACGCGGGCTTTGGGTTCACACAACTCCTAACCGCTCTACAATACATTTAGTCAAATTCATATATGAAAACACATGGTTTTAATCAGTTAAAAGACGGTTCGTCGGCGAGCTGCGTCACTCACGGGAATGGCAACGATTGTTGTGACGTCACGTCGCCAGTGATGCGGCTTGTCCTCTTCATAAAAACAACATTTATTTATTTTATTTATACAAGTTCTCAGTCTAGTGACTTCAGCACGAAAAAAAATACTGCTTTCATCATTACGTTTTAAATTTTGGAAACCTGTTTCCGTGAGACTTTTCTTGCGAGTTTATATCTGACTTTACAATCAAAATCGCAAGATATAAACTCAGAATATAGAGATGTGAATTTGCAATGCTGAGGAAAAAAGTCAGAATTGTTACCTTTAAACCGACAACTGCAAGAAAAAAAGTCTGACTTGTGAGATTTTTTTTTTAAACCTTTTTTTACAATGATCTTTTTTATTCCACGGTGGAATAAAGAAAACAACAAATGTGGAATGTAAACTGTGCAGTACAAGAAAATAATTCAGAATTGAGAGGCGTAGACACGAAATTGTGAAAAAAGTAAAAAAAAAAAATGTATCTCGCGATTCTGAGTATATCTCGCAATTATGACTCTTTTTTTTTTTCTCAGAATTGCGAGAAAATCCGAAGTGTGAGATAAAAAGCTGCAATTACCTTTTCGATGTGGGCAAAAACAAACAAATAAATAAATAAAAAATGGTAATGTGAGACGTAAACTCATCAGATGTAAAAGACATTATTTTCGTCAACTTTTTTCGGAATTATTGATGTCTAATCAATTCTTCATTAATAAAACCAAGATTATATACATTTTTCTTGTCATACATCATCGAAGTAACATTTCACGGCGAGGTTAAAATCCATAAGCGCTTGAATAAAACCAAAACGTTCTGAAGTTTATATAACGTAATTTTATTACCTAGTAACACAAGTTCTAACCAAAAGTGTAGTCCAAAAATACAAACAATGCATTACTGCAAAGAATGCTAAATATATTGCAACACAATCGCGCGTTACGATGGAAGTCCGCGGCGGCTCAGCCGACGGTCATGACGGTTGTAGCGTCCTCCAGGTCACGTGACTCAGCGCTCTGCAGCTCGCGCCGGATCTCGGACGATATCTGCGCATGCGTCTGGCACTTCAGCAGCTCCAGCAGCGCCTCCTTCTGTTCGGAGGACAGGTCAGCTTTGTAGCGCTGCACTAGCGTCAGCAGGCTCTGGTGCCACAGCACCGGCAGCATCCGTCTGTCCGCGCAGAACGACAGGAAGTGTGCGATCAGAGCGTCCAGCACGCGGAAGGGCAGCGCGTACTTCTTATCCAGCAGCAGCCGCAGGAAAATACTGTTGGCTCCGTTGTACTCCATCTCTGCGATTTTCAGCATGGCGGCGCTGCAACGTATAACGGCGGATTAGTAGCACGCAAAAACTACAATTACGAGAATAAAGTCGTATTAGCGTGAGATTGAAGTCGTAATAATCTGAGAATATTCAGTCAAAAGTACTTTACTCTCAAAACATTACCCTGTAATCTCACGATGCTATGACTTTATTATTGTAATTGTAACTTTATTCTCAAAATATTACAAGTTTAATCTTGTATAAGACTTAGTCGTAGCAATACTATTACGACTTTCATCTCGTTACGACTTTTCATTTACTACGACTTTGTTGTTGTAATTTTGACTTTATTCTTAAAATATTAGAAGTTTCATCTCATATAAGTCTTTATTCTCATATTGCTGTGAATTTATTAAATTTATTCAACTTTAATCTCACAATGCTATGACTTTATTCTCAAAATATTACAAGTTTAATCTCGTATAAGACTTTATTCTTATATAGCTACAACTTTTTCTCAGAATTTTAACTTTATTCTCAATTTTACAAATTTAATCCCATAATTTTGACTTTATCACCAAATATTACGACTTTTAATCTCACAACCCTGCGACTTTATTCTCAAAATATTACAAGTTTAATCTCGTATAAGACTTTATCATTTTGACGTATTCTCAATATATGAAATTTAATCTCATCTAAAACTTTATTTTCTTATTGCTACCTCGTTATTATGACTTTATAATCAAAATATTATGACTTTAATTACACAATGCTATGACTTTATTCACAACTTTGACTATATTTTCAAAATTGTACAAATTTAATCTCATAAGACTTTATTCTTGTATTGCTATGACTTTAATGGTAATTTTAAATTTTCTTAATTCTTAAAATATTATAACTATAATCTCACAATGCTACAAATTTATTCTCGAAATTGACTTTATTCTCAAAATATGATGTTTAATCTTTAATCAAATTGCTGACTGTTTATTCTCAAAATATTACAAGTTTTATTCTAGTAATGTTTACATGTAATTTTGACTTTATTATTGAAATAATGCAAGTTATTGCTCTAGCATTGCTTTTTTATCATTTTGACCAAAATATCTCATATAAGCTTTATTCTAGTATAGCTACGACTTTATTCTTGAAACTGACTTTATTCTGTAAATTTAGCAACTTTTTTCTCATAATCTAAGATTATTTTTCGCTGTTGTAGCAAAGAGCCTGTCAACAAGATATGAAGTGTTCTTTAGTGCGCTTGAAAAAGTGTGTTTTTATACACACACACACACACACACACACACACACATCAGTGTTATACTATTATAGTAGTTATTAATGCATTAAATTCACTTATAAAACGGAGAGTTCCGGTGCTTGATTCTGATTGGCTGAGCCACGTTCGAAGCTGTTGTAACTTACTCTACAAAGTAACACACACCTTTGTTTACGTTTGTTTGTTGCTTATGGGATTACAATTCTGCCACAGTTCGTGCGCGAACTGAGTTTTGTGGAGAAAATGTTTGTCTCGCAAAGAAGAAAGTATTTCGAGCGCACGAAAATCAATTTTGCATTTAAAATACATTTTTGGATGTGTGCAGACCTTCTCTTTTGCACGTGCAAAGTTTCACTAGCTTGCTCACCCGATGCCCTCAGTGCTCGCTAAATGCCAACAGCTCGCGTGCTCAACACAAC